TGTTGGCTGACCTCCACCTAACAGACCAGGCAGGCTACGGCCCTTCATGCCTTCTGCTCACCGACACCCAGGGCAGGCTGCATCCCAAACAGGCAGGTCACCTCCAGCACACACATGCCCTTCCGTTCCTACCAGCAGAGTCCTGTGCCCACCAAGATCTAGATGTGTGTGTTTCCAATCCTGCTGTGTTCCTGCTTATTTCAGTTACATAATTCACTGAGCTATTTCATAAACCAATGAAATATGAATGGGAAAAGAAAATTGTTTTTTTTTTCTATGAAATCTAAGTTTGAGAGCTTCAAGGAAGATGCACTAAAAACAAGGCACTGAAATATTGCTATTAAATTATGTGTATAGAGAAATACAGTAAAAGATAGGAAAAGTTGTAAAAATCTGTAAGTTCTGCACTCATATTTTTGACAAAAACTTATGTTCTTGGTACTTATTTAAGTGATCCCGCCCATCTTGATGGGATAAGGACGGCTTGTCATTTGATTCAAATCAACACACATTAAAAATTCTAGATTAGGTAATGTGGCGATATAGGAAGCATAAACTTTTTAAAACTAAGTAAACATTTTTTTAACTAAATAACTTTGTTGAATTACTTCTTTTCTAATTTTCTCCACTACATTTTTTCCCGTTTTCTTTCCGGAGTTTCTTTTAGTTAGATATTAAGCCTTCAGGTTTGCTCTTCTAATGTTATCTTTTCTTTCCTGTTTCTTTCATTCTCTGTCTTTTATTTTATGAGGGATTGCCTTGACTTTATATTCCAACTCTGTTCTATTACATTTTAAAAATTTGGTTATTCTATATCTGATTTCCAAGAGTAGCCCCTGCTCTTGAGATTATGGTACGACTGGGGAGATAATTCAGAGTCCTCAATAGGAAGCAGTCCTAGCCCAGATATAGTCCCATATTAGATAACGTGGACTACAGTAATGGTATGGGATTCCTGTCCAGTGGACAGAGCTGGATTGGATAAGGATAATCCTCACGAAAAATGTGGATTTTGAGCCAAATCTAGAAGTACAGATAGGATTTATAAAGGTGGAGGTGGGAAGAGATGATATCCTTGGAGAGATAAGAGAAGAAATTGTATCTATTAAATTAGAACATATGGCTACAAAAAAGGGAAATAATCTTGAAAATTAAATATAGGATAACTGGATTCAAAACATGAACAGAAGAGTTGTAATATACAGCTGAATAACCAACTTAAATGTGCATCAAGGGACAAGTGGATAAGGAAAACGTGGTACGTCTACACAGTGGAATACTACTCAGCCATAAAAAAGAATGAAATTCTGCCATTCGCAGCAACATGGATGAACTTGGAGAAAATTATAAGTGAAATAAGCCAGGCACAGAAAGAGAAATACCACAAGTCCTCACCCATAATTGGGAGCTAAGAAACTAAGAAAGAGAGGAAGACTGTAATGAAATGTTGAACTTTCAGAAGGAGAGAACAGACCTTAGTTACTAGAGGCGAGAAAT